AAGGTTGTAGTCATTTGTTGGTCACAGACAGCTACCAAGAGGAACCAAATAGTTGAACATGTGGGCTTGGGACCATGGTCACAGAGGACATCAAGCTCAATTGGCTTAACATACTACACAAAACATTGTTCCACCTCCTACTTTGGTGAGTAGCGAGTGGGATCTTAAAAGCTTGCAAGCAGCCATCTAGATGCAACAATGGGTCTCTCCTCATCCAGAGCAAAGAAGAGTGAAGAAAACCAAAGATTCATGGAAACAATTAGTCCTAACGACAGTACACCATGCAATCCACAGCCTATATGACTATGAGACCAGAAGAACTAGGTGGTGCCCAGCTACCACTGTCAACCACTCAGAGGGGCATCTATGTAGGAGATCCTGGATGGAGAGGGGAGAACAATGTGGAACAAAACTCCAAATCATTTGAGGGAAAGGGGGGGGGGACCAGGTTTGCTGGTCTGATAGAGCCTGGTGGAAGCACTGAGACTATAGCCCCTAAGTGCCCTTCAGGTCTGGAACTGAACCCACACCTATGGCTTCCAGCCAAACAAAAGACAGGCATAGGAGTTGAACATTTACCTAAGGTAGATACACTCCTTGGAGAGAACAATCATGGGAGAAAGAAGGGCTATGTTTGTTTGCACAGGGAGACAGTTCAGGGGGCAGGGGTGCATGGAAGGATGGACACAGGGAAGAGGTAACTATGGGGAGGAAGTGGGAGGGGAACTGTTGCATTGTGGTGAATTGTGGTCAATGTCATGAGGCAAAGTGTATGTGAACTGCTGTATGGAAAGAGAATTTGCTCTAAATTTTCACGCAAATCACACTAATAAAATTAATGTAGTTAGCAAATCTTGATCACAAGATCAGGGTCTCATGGTATTGAGTTGTAGGACAGTGTTTAAAACATCAGTAACAAATCATTGGCCTTAAAGAAAAAATAAAATGGTATTCTAAAATAACATTGTTTTAAATACATGATAAAAATTCTTTAAAAACATGCTTCTCGAAAATTGCAAGGATCTAAGATGGGTTCCACTCCCTGTCTAAATGGCTGATTCCTGATCCCAGGGCTGGGACAGAGAAAGTGCAAGACATGCCTGAAACATGTGCCAATGGGAGGAGGTGCTCAGAATACAATGGGACATGTCAGAAGGACAAGGGCCTGCTTGAAGAAAGGGCTGCCCTGGGCAAATCTAGAGCAATGTGAGCATCCAAGTAGTAGTGTCAATAATGGATTAAAACCTCTTTAATACTATAAGACT